ATTAACATTATATCGGAAACCGGCATGACTCGTATTAGTTAGTCTTACTATGAGTGCTCTTGTAATTAGGAGGTTTGATTCACCTCCCTGCCAGTCCTGATATCCATGAATCAACACAACTAGCTCGATATGATTAAGAAAATCATGGACAGAGAGTAGCATATCCGGAGTGATATACACAAGCTGTGTTCCATGAGACAGATCTACCTCCATTGTTCCAATAATAGAGACGTCAGGACGTCATCTTGTATCTCGTAGAACAATAAGAGTCGTTGTACCAGCATCTCGCCTATGCAAAGTATGTATACGGACCATAATTAATCCAATATGTATATGTTGCATACCTTCTTGAACAAGACATTGGTAGCACTGCTGTCGAATAAATGGTAGATTAACTTGTGTACCCTCTAAAGCGAGGATACGTTTCTCAGAGTATTGCTGATATATTCGATGCATGGTAGATGACCAGCCATCTTCATACAAGGTCTCTGCGAGAACAAGATTAGCACGCTTTCTCTGGGAAATATGCAATTGTTGCTCTGGATCGAGTTGGCTTTCCAAAGTACGTTGATAAGAACGCCTTCTAGGCATCCTACGTTGTAATCGTATGCTATACGCGATCTCATACGATAACGCAAATCTGGTTTTCTATGTTAGAGGTCGAGGTAGAGGTAGAAGCTAAGTTATTATTCCTAACAGAGGGGTTAGAGAGAAGAGAAGTAGAAGTTCGAGAAGATGAGGCCATGTTCTAAACACGCTTTTGTTTTTCTTGGAGAAATATAGTCTTTGGATTTTGGTAAACAAAAAGCTTGCCTCATGGACGGGAAGTTTTATGTGGTTGAGAAGGCTCTCCTAAAGATAAGGATTGAAGTTGTTTTTGTAAATCAGTTAGAGAATCTTCAACAGTTTTATTACTTTTTGAATAATCCTTCTGTTGAATCTCCTTCAACCGATTTTCCAAACTTAAGAGTCTATCTGAAAGTTTAAGAACAATTCGAATCAAGGTATTATTCTGCTTAATAACAGCGCTTAAAGCAGATGTTACACCTTGTCGTGAATCAGCAGGGTTAACAAAACCAAGAGCAGGAGGTTCCAAAGAATCAGAAGCTAGAAGAGCTTGTTTATAATCAGTAGAAGCGGAAGATTGCTTCCAATCGTTCATAAAAGTTTTAAACCAAGTTGATGAATAAAGTACTCTGAGTTCACTTTTCAAAATCTTAATATGTTAAATGATCTAACCTTTCAAATCACATACTAAAACTTATATAATTAAAATTATAAATTCAAGAAATAACTTCCTGAACACGCTTAGGAGTTCCTTTTCAACCCTACAATTTCATAGTGCTCCTACTACTCTCAGAGATCTCGTCGTGGCACTTAGGTTTACTGGCTGATCATGCTAAGTAGCAGCGCCTTATTTAAAGAAAGTATAATCTTAATACAATGAATAAAAGCTTAATGACATGAATAAGTTGAACAAAATAACAAATCAGGATTCTTACTCAGCTTACTCAAAGTACTAAACGAAATTTGTTCAACATGGTTGAAGGAAAACCCAAACTAGCTCTGATACCAAAAAGGGGCGGAAGTAGTAGGTGCCTAGAATGGGTGGTATGGTCGTTGGTGGTCCGGATCAAAGAAAAGGGTTGGTAGCAATTGTAAAGGCAAGGAGAGGTGTCGATAGTGGCTGGAGAAGGTGGTATGGTGCTTAGAATGGGGTGGTATGGTCGTTGGTGGTACGGATCAAAGAAAAAGGGTTGGTAACAATTGTAAAGGCAAGGGGAGGTGTCGACAGTAGCTGGAGAAGGTGGTATGAGAGTTGCGACACTTCAGGGTAGGTGGTAAGGAGGTGACAGGGTGCAGGTTGGGTAGTTGGAGGGTTGGACAGCACATGTGAGGACAATAGAGAGATACAGGTGCAAGCCGACGACTGAGGGAAGTAAGGGAGAGGGTAGGGAGGAAATCAGAGAGGATACAGCGCAACCTTGGAGCATGATGCAGTCAGAGCACTACCTGTCATTGGATATAGCTCTTGCAAAGGGGAAAGAAGACTACACATAAATCTAAAAGAAAGACACAAAATAACCTACCCTAAACTCAGCAAACATGCATATAAATAGACCCCAAGAAAGTGAGAAATAGAAAAGGAAAAAAAGAACCAGCGTGCGACAAATTCTGACTCCCATTAGATAGGAATTAGGAAATGAGGAGGGGTGTGGGCGCGACAAATCCCGCCCCTAAGAAGGCAGGTCAGTCAAGCGAACCTTCCTCATGTTGGTTCGGCAGGCTCCTCTGCCAGTCAGTTTAATCGGCCTTCCTCAATACCCTGCGCCTCCTCTACCATTAGTCATGAATATGGCAAGATTAGATGAGAAAATAGCGGTAGAATTTGTCTCAAGTTTATTTATTTATAGTAAGTTGCAATTTTAGCTTGATATTACAAACAGAGTCGAGTGTTAGATTCTTAAAGAATGGGTTAACCTATTTTGAGCAAGCTTTTGTAATGAATTGTTAGCTTTCTTTGATTTGTTGTGAATTTGATTGGAGTGGGAAGGAGAGGGGACTTGAGATTTGTCTTGGTTGATTCCTCTTTTTGAATTTTTCTAATTTGATATTTCTTTTTAGATTTTTAATGTGTTATGGATTTGGATGTCTTATTCTAAAGTTGATTTCCAATATTGGTTTAAGTCAAGATCTTCTTGGGGTTATTAAAAGTCATAATATCTTTTCTTACTTCTATTATTTCAGTGATGACTATGGCTTTATTTAGGGAAAGTAAATTGTAATTTTCCAGAATTTGTACATTTAAAGTATCGAACTCAGTAATTAATCAATCTAAAAAATCATAAAATTGATATTTTCAATATATTTGGTTAGTAGAGTTGCATTTTTGTTGCATTCTATCTAGATGCGTTGACAGGGATTCATCTTTTGCTGAGGTCTTATATTAAAGTATTTTATGATAAATAATCATGTTTGCTTTGTACATGAGACTTTGATTTTGATTTTAGCGTTAGGCTATCACGGATTTTAGAATATATATAATTTATTGTGTCTCGGATTATTTTACTAACTGAAGGAACATGCATGTGTCACTTATTTTAATGTGGACTCTACAGGTAAATCGACGGCAACCTTTAATAGGTGAATTTACCTATCCGGCTTCCCGACCTCCCCTCGTTTCCTCTCCCCCTGCTCAACTGTTTGTTTCCTCGCTCACTCTTTGGCTCTTCGATTCCTTTCTCCTGGTAACAGAAACGGGACGTTGCATGTTGAGCAGTTTGAATTCGAATGAGTCGCTTGATTTTTCGAGGAAAATGCTAACCTTTAAATGAAATTAAACCATTGCATCATTAAATAATTTTCTAAATCTGCCAACAAAATGCATTATAATGCACCTCAAGGATGTTTCAATTAATTTATTTGACTATTAAAAGAAGTCGATACAATCGGTAATCTTGTGCTAGCTAATTTCTATAAGATCAAATTTCTTGTCCAAATTAAATCTAAGTGCGCAAAAGATAAATTATTGTACAAATGTAGGGCTACAAATGAATTGAACCAAATTGTGTATGATTGTGTTCAAGCTTAAGCTTATTTATAAAATTCAAATTCTAACCTAGCTTGAGCTCAAGTCAAGCTTTTGTGTTTATGTTCTGGTTTGGTTCATTTGTCATTCTGATTGTATGAGCTCGATTCATATTTGTTTAATATAATGACTATTGGATCATTATTGAACATATTAACAGGTAGTATTATCAAGTTACTCGATTTCTAATTAAACAAGTTTTATGGAGCAAATTAACATTAGTGCTATCGAGTTGTTTATATTTTAACCAAATGATCATATTGAGCAAATTAATAGGTAATATACTGCAGTGACTTGTTTTCTAATCAAACAAGGGAGTTGCTTGTTAAATTTACAAAAATAAACGGTTAAATTAATGAGTTACCAAGTGAGTACAATAAGCATACGAACGCCAAAAATAAATGGATCACTAAACAAACAAGCTTTTTATTTTGTTTCATGCATTATGTATTAAAAATTTTATTTGATTGTAAAAAATAAATTTTAAATAGGGCTTTAATTGAGTTTATTTATAAGTTTTAAATTAAGCTTTAACCGATTATATCCACAAGCATTATATCGAGCTTATTCGTGAGCTTGTTCATGACTTTAAATGAAACTGTTCGACGAGCTTCTTAACAAGTTTGTTTGCAAATTTTAAATGATATTGTTTTTATACGAATCGGAGAGGGAGTTGTTTAAGCTTGTTTATTTAAAAATTGTGTCTTTATAAAAGTGTTTAAACTTGTTCAATTAATTAATCAAACAAATGTGAAGGAGCTTTTTTTCTAGCCGAGTTGTGAGAAGCTTATCGAATGTCTGTTTATTTGAAACATTATACTAGTGATTTTATATGTATTGTAAGCTTGGCATCACCAAGAATGAATACATACATTGTAGTTGACCTAATATAAATTAAAAATTGGAAGACAAAATAAATATAAAAGGTTTTTAATAGGTTGTACACTTTAAATTATATCTCCTGGTTAAAGAGGTCTTATGCATCTGTGCTTTGTTGAGCATATAAGATGGGATTTTTATTGCTGCCAATGGACATAGGACTTATGCCATCATTAAAATGTTGAAGCATAAAAGTAATTTGATCTCACATATCTCGATGTTGCTTCAGAACCACAAAATATTTTACGTGGCTTATAGGTAGGTGATTTTCCATGAAATAGCTAATCTACTTCACCACACTCATGTGGGTTTCAAGTATTTTCTTAGCTATTGACTATGAGGGGTCCTTCTATATTTTGCAACTCAAATAAATATATTCCTACGATAAATCAGTTCATTGATTTTACGGGCTTCCAATATTTGTCAAACTACAACAGTTGGCGCCAGTAAATTATTAGGCATATACTTTTGGCATGACTTGAAAGCATATACTGAAGCTTCTACATGTTGACTATTTTTTTCACATTTCAAGGATAATTATTTTGAAGAGGCTTTGAAGATGAGAAATCTTCTTGAGGAGTTTCATTGCAATCATGGCCTTCGTCAACCAACAATTTTAGGTGTTAGGGAGCATGTTTTCACTGGAAGGTAGGCAAGTATCCTCATAGCTAAGCTGTTGCTTGTTCCCGTTTGAATTAACTTTTTTTTTCTTTCATTTCTAATATCTCTTTTGAATTTTAGTGTTTCTTCTTTAGCCTCGTTCATGTCCAATCAAGAGACCAGTTTTGTGACTTTGGGTCAGCGAGTTCTTGCTAATCCACTTAAGTACGTACATTTATACTATATTGTTTTATGGGTTCCTTTAACTCTCTCTAAATGTTTTGTTGTTTTTTCTTTGTGCTTTCCAATAGGGTTCGTATGCACTATGGCCATCCTGATGTTTTTGATAGAATATTTCACATTACAAGAGGAGGTATCAGCAAGGCTTCACGTGTAATCAACATTAGTGAGGATATATACGCTGGTAGGATCTGCTTCCTAAATATTTTTTGGATTCGTTTGCCTTTTGTACCACTATTTTAATCTTTAGAACTTCGAATTAAGTTGCTGCTTTTTTTATACAATATTGGGTTGCCTGTTAATTGAATTGGAACTTTAAGGTTGCTCAAAGACCACTTTTTTATGATTATCCATTGATATTAATGAATTGCATGGAATTGGAATCTCATTTTTAATATTAAATAATTTTCAGTAATGATTATGATAGAAATTAGTATCACGTTTTTTCTATTGAATTGGGTCAAGCAGTTAGAGTTATTTAATTAATTTATCGACAAAAGTTTAAAGTGCAGGCTTTGGTCAAATTAATTGTTTTTGTAAGGAAAAAGGTTGCTTTGTCTTGTGTCATGAGGAAATTATTTTATCGCGATTGTTGTTACTGTTATTATGTTCATTTTGGCATTAGCTAGTGCCTTTAACAAGACTTTTTAAAACTATATTTTTGAATAACTATATTTTTGAATTGTTTGTAGTATTTTTTTTTTTGTTTTTGAATATTAGTATATTTGACTCAGGGCAAATAGTCTATTTCTATTGTCATGCAAAATTTATTGGAACTCAAATGATTGAATCTGTGGTGCATGTGTTTCTACCTAGTAAAAAAGCGACTGTTTCATGCTACTAGAAGTGCTAATTTCTCCTAATTTTTCTCATCTATATCCTTTTTTCCCATTTTGTTGCCGTAATGGGAGATTTACTTGTCTGTAAATTTAGGAGCAAATGAGCATACTGAATGTATCATTTCATGAAAATTAATTTATATCCTATTGTACTTCTCAGGTGACTTGAGCTGTATTTTTATGGGTGAAGCCATATGTTGGGTTTCCCTTGTTTAGAATTAGTAGAATAAAGTTTTAGCATATGCTATACGATTTTAGTGGGTGTGATGCACATAATTATCAAGCATTACTATTAAAAGATAAAGTTACGCAAGGTATGATAAGCTTTTTTGTAACCTTGGTGTATAATAATTGATGAGGATACAATTTTTTGATTGAAGGGTAAATTTGAAAAATGCTTTGGGAATATTATGTGGTTAGGAGACTTGATGGTAAATTTTCACACATGTTTTATCAGCTAATTATGCTGTATGGATCCAAATGTTACATAGTGAAAAAAATTAATTGTAGTCTTGTTAATGTGGCTAAGCTAAAATTACTTTTGCTGAAAAATAATTTTCAATGTCAATAGTATATTTACTATCATTCTATAGTGTTTTTGAAATTGAACTCTGCTATTATAACTCTTCAACAACCTTTCTAGTCAAATTTCTTTACACTCCTTAAGGAATGGCACCAAAATTGGCTTTAACCATCGTCTGAGTTATATCAATTTGTTTCTTGCTTCTCCATGTTTCGAAGTTCCCCCAAAACTTTATGCAAAGTCCTTAGGTAGATTAGCTATCCTCACAACCTGCCCAATTTATATCAGAAATTCTTTCTTCTATAATCTCCTTATTTGCGTTGAAAATTAAGTTCTAGGGCTCTATTTAAGATATTTTAATTGGATGATTTATTACCATTCATGCGCCTTTGAATAGGGAATTTGTGAATAAGCTCTTCATACTTCCCGCAGAAGCCATAGTTGGTCTAGTTAGTGAGTTAAATTAGTTTCCCTTCTAATCATTGATATCTTTGTTTGTCCATAGGAGAATCATCTTCAATACCCTTCCACTTCTAGTTCTTTTTCAGTGGTGTTCTCATGCTTTTGCATCCAAGCTTACTGAGCTTTTTAAGGTGGTCAAGGATATATTTTTCTTTTTGGGTAATGTATTTTTTTCATAATGCCTTCAATTCTTCACTTCAAATCTGAATTGCTAATGTGCTCCAAGATCCTTTATTTCAAAGGCCCTAGATGCTGGATTTCTTGATTATATGATTTTCAGAATGTGAGAGCCTTTGATTTGGTGGATGACTAACTTATCACACTTATTGCATCTGCAATCAATGGTTTTCTTAGTGATAGATAAATGAATCTTGCTATAAACCATTAGTGTAAATTGCTTAAATCTATTACTTTTAACACCATTCATTAAATTTGACTTTAATTTCTTTTTTGTTTTTATTTAAATGGCAAGAGTTTTTTGGCTTATGTTCTAAAAGTTTTTAAGGGCTAAATTGGGCTTTTTTTTATAGTCTGTGATAAAATGGCACCTTTTGAATGAAGTTAAAATACATTCACCAACCCGCTTCTTACTGCCGCACCCTCGCACAGCCCCCTTGATTTCCACTGATCCTGTCAATCTAGTTCCTGCTTGCTGACGCTCCCTCCACAGCCCCTGCTTGGCTATCCAGCCGCCAAACCACCTTCGCCTCGCTGTTACCAAACCTCTCTACCACCTACAGTTCTCCTTTTCCACTATCTTGAACTGCAACCTACCACCTTCGATTCTCGCCCTAGAGTGTTTTTCGTATTTGTGTTGATCTTTTTTTTTTTTCAAGTGTCTTTATTTGTAATACCCTTTGAATTTCAGCAATAATATTATCATTCCATTATGATTTTGGGTTAACCTTGGTATCAGAACTTCTTTTAACACGCACAAAATTTGCCTTAGTGGGCTTAATTTCTCTGTTTTTATTTTTTATTTCTTGTTAGCTCGCATGTATATGTTATTCCTGCAACAGTTTATCCTTAAAAATCAAAATTCCGCTTTTGTCTCTTCATAATCTCCATTTTATCAGTTATTAGTTATCTTTTTTTATTAGCAGATGTAATGTAAATGTTACTAAGATAATTACTTTTCTTCTCTTTTATTTTTGTACTTTTTGTTGGTACATGTCACTTGAATCTAGGTTTTTTATAGTAGATTGGTATGATTTTTTATGTGATTCTGATAATAAACATAGAACAAAGAAATTCTTAATTCTACATGATATCTGGGATTGATTTACTATTAATATGATATATCTATTGAACTATGCTTATTATTTTATGTTTCTACTTTAATATGCTTTTATATGCAGGATTCAACTCAACTTTGCGTCAAGGGAATATTACTCATCATGAGTATATTCAGGTATTGCTGTGCTCTTAAATTAACTATTTGGTTCTCTGTTGTTTCTTTTTTGTCTAATCTACTATTTCTCCTGGTTTGAACTTTGTTACTCATGTAGGTGGGGAAGGGAAGAGATGTTGGGTTGAATCAAATTGCTTTATTTGAAGGAAAAGTTGCTGGTGGCAATGGTGAACAAGTGCTTAGCAGGGATGTGTACAGACTAGGGCAGCTTTTCGATTTCTACCGCATGTTGTCCTTCTATTTTACCACTGTAGGATATTATTTTTGTACCATGGTACGTGCCCTGCTATTCTGTATTGAGGTTATAATTTGTCCTTTTGTAAATTTATCAGTTAATTTTGGAAGTCTTTTTAAGTCGTTAGGTTGGATTTTATAGTATCTTTCAAATGTAGGTAATTTCCATTGTTATCCTTCCTTGTAAAATGTTATTTTTAGTATATTCTATTATTAGTATTTTCTATTTCTTGAAGTTAATTATTGGTATGTCATAATTCATATTTCCTTCTTTTATCATAGGGAAATATGACTGATTTTATGATTGATTTTAATACTTTCCTAATGTGGGAGCCATGCCCCCCTCTATTTATCTTATATTTTTTTCTATGAAATTGAAGAGGTATAATTATTTTTCCCCTACCAAAACCTACATGGTATTAGAGCAAATTATCGCCTTCAAAATTGTGATCGAATTTTGCTAGCCCAGTCGTCTGCCAGTCTTGCCATTATGAGTGGCTTCGCTTCGCTCTTCTCCTACGCGAAACCAGTGAGGAACGTGATGATTTGCTCACGCGACCTTCATCTTTTGAAATTTCACTGGCGTCGCCTGATTTGAGGCTCTATATTTGATCGCTTCACTTTCTTTTCCATTTTTGTGGCGTCGCAACAAGGTGACCTTTTTTTGGTTCAAACATGTGACTTATTTGTTCGAATCAGTGACTGTAGCCGTAGCCACTACACATGGACCATAGACATAAAGCGAATATGCATTTCTCAGACTCTTAGGATGTCATACAAATTAATAATGATGATTAGAGTTCAAAGAGATTTTATCACATTGACCGGTTCTAGAAATTTTGAAACCACCTCACCTCACCCCACAAGTCTTTTCATGGGCGTATTAGATGAATATTATCTTTAAAATTTACCATCTTATCTCTTAGTTATAAAATTTAATGGACATAACTATCTCGAGGAAGCTCAATCTTTAAAATTGGTGATCGACAAGAGAAGCAAAATTGGGTATTGAATCAGAGAATTTCAAAATCTACTGTTACCAATTTGAATACGAAAAAATGACAGTTTGAAAATTGTCTAGTGATGGCATGGTTCTTGTACACTATTAAACCTACCATAGGAAAGCTTCATTTATTTCTTCCCAATGCTCGAGATATTTGGGAGGCCGTTCGAGATCTCTATTCTGACATGGAGAATTCTTCACAAAAACTCAACTTTGGAAATCCAAAAAAAATAACCCTGATGCTACTACGTATTACAATGAGTTTGTAACATTAAGACAAGAGCTTGATCACTGTTTTGATGATATTTGGGAGAATTTAAGTGAATATGCTCACCACAAGGGAGGAAAACGATCGGTTCTACATGTTCTTAGCTGGCCTTAATCAGAGTTTAGAAGAAGTTTGGGTCAAATCCTTGGTAGGAAATCTCTACCTTCACTTCGAGAATTCTTTACTGAAATTAGACGTGAAGAGTTCAGAGGAAAAATTATGATTTTCAACAAATCGTCTTGTAACATTGAGCAAAATGAGTCAGAAGGGTTAATACTGACAAAAAAGGGTGTAAAAAATCATGTGCGCTTGTAAAAAATCATGACACATGATGAGACATGCTAGAAGTTTCATGATAAAGTTATAAATTGAAAATCAAAATTCAAACATGAAGGTCGAGCTTATCTAGCCACTACTGAAGATTCTCATAAGTTGTTTGCTAACTCGAATTGAGTCACTTTCACCAAGGAGCAGTTAGAGCACTTACACAAATTGTTTCAGTCTCCAAAATTGTCCTCAACTTCGTCTTGCTCTTTAGTTTAGAAGGGTAACTCTTTGGTCCCTGCTTTGTTAGTTGTTATTCTTAATTTTTCTCATTTTTAGATAATTGACGCTAGTACAATTGCTCACATGACTGGTTCTAAATTATTTGTCCTATAGTTCTTGTACAGGTAATAAAAATGTCCAAATGTTTGATTGTTCCCTCTCGATAAATGTTGGGATAAGTACTATCAAACTCTTATTGTTGTTAACCTTGTGGTGCTCTCCATGTTTCTAATCTCTTATGTAACTTGAAACTTACTACTAATCATCAATGTCAATCTGACTCTATTCTTATTATGAATTTTAAGAATTTACCAAGGGGAGGATGATTGGCGGTGCTCACGAAAAAGTTGGAACTATTATTTTGACAGAGGAATTCATTCGAATAAACAATGTCAAAGTACTGGTTTATATTCTATATATATATTTAAATATAATGAAATTATGTTATGATATAATAGGTTAGGTCATTCTAGTTTTTAATATCTAATATATTTTCCCAAATTATTTTAGAATAAAAATTTATTATTATGTCAATGTTAAGTTTGCTAGTTTGCTACAAATATAAAAACCAATTACACCATTTACTCTGATTCATAATGATATTTGGGATCATTGTAAAGGCCTTACACATCATCGAAAAAAGAATTTAAATTTATTTAATGAAAATAATTTTATAATATTTGTATACTATAGTACACACATTTTCAAAATAAATTTCAAATATAAGGCTGTTATAATGACTGAACATTTTAAAAATATTTTGGGTTAATTCTTTCCCAAAAAGGAATAATTCATCAATGTTTGTGTCAATACTCCACAATAAATTGACGTATAGTTGAAAGAATATACAAGAACTTAGTGGAGGTTGCTCATGCATTATTGTTAACCAATCAGGTGCCTAAGCTTTTTGAGATGATGTCATTCTTACTGCTATATTTCTCATAAATAGAACACCTAATAAAATTTTAAACTTTGAAACACAATTTGATATTTTTCAAAAAAAATATTCTAAATAATCAGCTTTCATCTTCTCTACCTCTAAAAACATTTAGTTGTGTTACTTTCTTTCATCTTCATAATCAAGGAAAACTTGAACCCTGAGCTAAAAAATGTGTTTGTTGGTTATTCATCTAACCAACAAGCGTATAGATGCTTTGATTCAAATTCTCAAAAAAATTTTGTTACCATGGATGTCATTTTTTCAATTACACTCTTTTTTTCACCTCATCTTCCAGGGTAACAAATTAAGAATTTGTCTTGTGAGTTTCTGAATTTTCTTCAAACTGATGACTCTCAAATTAGTATATCCCAATTATTAATTGTTCAACCTAAAAACCTAAGCTATTTTATATTAGGAGAGAGTGCGTCAAGTCTTTTAGATATTGAAGTTCTTGAAAACATGAAGAAGAACTATGACAGTGGCACCATTTGCTATTATCTACTCATGGTAGATCGTATTTTGAATTACAACCTTTTTTTCACCTCATCTTTAAGGGGGTAACAAATTAAGAATTTGTCTTGTGAGTTTCAAAATTTTCTTCAGATTGAAAACTTTCAAAATAGTATATCCCTATTCTTAATATTCAACCTAAAAATCCATGTGATTTTATATTAGGAAAGGGTGCGACAAGCCTTTTAGATGTTGAATTCTTACAATGCTATCTTATGATGTTCATAACAAAGAAGGAACATGAAAAGGAACTATGATAGTAGTACCATTTGTTATTGTCTACTTGCGACAGAAGTCAACTCAAAAGAATGGGTCTACAATTCCTTTGCACTTCTCAAAATTCGCAAACATTGGTAATGTATCACTAATCGTTTACCTCATGTTCAGTCCACTTCATTTTTGGGTTCCGAGTCTTATAATCTTGAATCTAAGCCTAGCTCGAATCCTGAGTTTAATGAGTCTAGCCTTCCTTTTTGGGAAAAATTCTTGCACCCAACATCCATTGTCACATTATGTGTCATATTAAAAGCTCTCACTCACATTTCGTGTTTTTACCTCATAATTTCCACGTGTGGGGATTCCTAGTATCACACAAGATGCTTTGAAGGTCCTTAAGTGGAAGGTCATTTTTAAGGAGATGAACGTTGTCGGAAAAAATAGCATGTGGGAATTGTTTTATCTACGTAGAGAAAATGCAATTGTCCGGTGCAAGTGGGTGTTTACAGTGAATTATAATTCTGACGACTCTCTGGAACGGTACATGGCTCGATTGGTTTCCAAGGGTTTTATTTAGAGCAATGTCATTGATTATTTTTAGACATTTGCTTTATTCAAAAAACTAAACTCTGTGAAGGTTTTTCTGTCCCCTGTAGCTAAACTTGATTGACCCTTACAATTGGTGGATATAAAGATTGTCCTCTTCAATCAGGACTTGGAGGAAGAAGTGTACATGGATGCACCTCCGGGATTTAATGAGAAGTATGACACGAAATTGTCTGAACTAAAAAAATCCTTATATGTGCTAAAACAATCACCGAGAGCGTGTTTTGAGAAATTTATACTTTGTTAATGCTCAGGGGTATACTCAAGTGCATAAAGAGCATACAATTTTCTGTAGACATTTAGATAATTGATAGATATCCATACTAATTGTATATGTGAATGATATTATTCTCACTGTAAATGATGCATGTGAGATGAATGGTTTGAAGACATATCGATCATATCTTTTTAAAGCCATGGACATTGAATCTCGGAGGTAGTTTCTTGTCATGGAGGTTGCTTGATTGAAGAAAGGAGTTGTTTTCTCCCAACGGATTATGTTCTTGATCTTCTCAAGGGAATTGAGATAAGTGGGTATAGATTTGCAGACACTCCAATTGATTCCAATCATAAACTTGGAGATGGGAAGGAAGGTTATCTATAGTGGGAAAGTTGATATACTTACTCCATACAAAGCCATATATTGTCTTTTTTCTGAGTGTGGTAAGTTATTTTATACATTCATCCTATAAGAAACACTTTGAAGCAGTCAACATAATTCTTAGATATCTAAAAGGTATACTTGGAAATGACATTCTCTTTCATAAAACCATCCAAAAGAGTATAGTGGCGTACACTGATGCAGATTGGTCATTCTCAGTCATTGACAGGAGATCAACTTTTAAATACTACGCTTTTATGTTGGGAAACTTGGTTTACATGGCAAAGTAAGAAGCAAAATGTAGTTGCAAGGAGTAGTGTTGAGGTAGAATGTAGGGCTATGGCTAATTGAGTTTGTGAGATTTTCTGGTTGAAAGTAATTCTTGAAGAATTGTAGATCCCAATAAGCATGTCAATGAAGTTATAGTGACAATAAAGTAGCTATAAGCATTGCATCACAACACGATCATACAAGGCATGTGAAGATTGATATACGCCTCATTAAAGAGAAGATTGATTGTGAAGCTATTTGTATGTCCTTTATCCCTACTGCTCAACAAATTGTGGATATCTTCACCAAAGGAATGCTTAGGCCAAATTTTGAGCTCCTTGTAAGCTAGAGCATATTAAATATCTATGCTCAAATTTTAGGGGAGTGTTAGTTTTTTAAGAAGATTTTATTTTTAATATATTCTATTTTTAGTATTTTCTATTTCAATAAGCTAGAATTATTGTAATGTCATCATTCATGTTTCATTCTCTTACTTATTCTATTAGTTTCCTTATGTGGGAGTCTTCCGCTCTATTTATCTTGTAAATATATTTTATGAAATTGAAGGGGAATAATTATTTTTTCCCTCTCAAAGCTTACAATAAACATGTTATATGTGATGCATTTGTTCAAAAATTTGTTCCTGTCAAAGAATGCACAAATTGTGTTGTTTTAACGACTACCTATTTTGTAGCATGGGGGTGACATGCAACTTCTTAAAATATCAATGGTATGAACTGGCATCAATATGGTTCTGGTGGCTTGGGCAGCCTGATTATTATATGGTTATACTTTTTTTGCTAGCGAACCTTGGGAGTTCTAATGATCCATGTTGTTCTAACTTTGGTTAACTTTACTTGCTCTTCTCTTTTTTTATCTTTCTTTTAGGCTATGGTTTTTTTTTCATTTCATTCTTTAGGATTTTATATATTTTCGGTTTTGGATCTTTGCCAAATTTTTTTTCATGTTTGTCTTTATTTTATATTTAAGATGTTTCTTTACTTGTTATGTTTTGAATTTTATATCAAATTTGAAAAATTTTAAAATGATTGATATGCAGAAAGGTTTATGTGGACTGAAAATATCTTTGTAGGGCTGAGGGCTGATATTTACTTTATGTAAGGGTGCAATGAGTCTCAGGTCATCTTTGATTTATTTGCCTGCGTTTTTTTTGAGCTCATATTTAACCAATCATACAGGTCATGGTTTGCTAATTTGGGGTGTTAGCCTTTATGTCATGCCATTGAAAGATTTGCTTAATATTATTTAGGCAAACCGATCAAGGATAACTACAACTGCTTAAATGGTATCATAAAGAGTTCATTAATAGGCTGACATTGCAGTAACTATAATTACAACTGTTTGTATAGTATTTTATTGTTTATCCAACCTTACACTTTTCCATCATGCTATCATTTATTTAAGAGTTATGAATATGAGCTGGATGCTGCTTATAAATATGATATCTCTTAGTTATTTTTGTATCTGTTAATTGACTTTCTGAAGAAATAACTTATTGTGTATGCAATGCTTTATGTTTTTAATGAAATCTATCCCTTTTTATTGTGCAGCTTACTGTTCTAACTGTCTACATATTTCTCTACGGGAAAGCATATCTGGTGAGTAACTTTTTTCTTATAATTTTCTTCTTGCTAATTATTTGACATGCATATAGGAAAATTAAGATTTATGTAGCATAACTATGTGATAGGGTGTCCTGATTTTATTTTTTTCTTGCATGCCAAGTGCATCCAAGTGTTCATGATTGTTATTCTTGCATACCTACGTTATTGCAAGATTTCTGCCTCAAAGTTGGCGGATGTGCTTTGGCTTGTAAACTTTGCCCCAAAATATTACTTCCCATTCAATAAAAAAGCTGTTTAATCTTCAACATTCTTGGTTTTGGTGAGAAAATGGAGAATTAAAATGGTTACAAGAAAATAATATCTGAAGTAGTGTTTGATTAGGGATTTTAAGAAAATGCAGCTCGGGAAATTCAATATTTCTTAGGAATTCCGGTTGATCAATTCACATCAAGGAATCTTTATATCTAAACAAAAGTATGCAATGATCTACTCAAGGAAACAAGAAAGATGTCTTGTAAACTACTTATACAGCATTTGATCTAAATTATAAATTAATCTGAACAGAGAGACCCTGTAGTGAACATGAAAATGTACCAATGTTTATTATAAAATTTTATTAATCTGGTACACATGAGATTTGATATAGCTTATAATGTTATTGTGTTTAGTCAATTTATGTATGATCCAAGGAAGCTTCACTTACAGGTAGCATGCTGAATGACACCATTCTCTAAGGCATCTAGAAGATTTTTCAAAAGGGGATATAGCAGGAAAATGGCTGTGAAGTAATGTGGGAATAAAAATATGGGCGGTTTGTGTGGCTTATAAAGGTTATGAGGTGTTCGGCAGCTGAAAACTGTTAGGAGGACAGCAGGATCGATGTTGGCGACGGCTGTCCTTTTAGCCGGAGGCAGGAAGACGGCGATTTTCTGCTGGAAACAGTAGGTAACACGAATTGGATGGCTGCCCGGCCGAAAACAACGGGTCAGACGGCGATACGGTGATATATGGGCGGTAAGGGGTTTCCACAACCTGTTCTTAAGCAAGATAAGACACACCACTTGCAAAATGAAATGATGCAGCACTTCGCGGGGCAAATTTAGAAAAAATACTTCTCAATTCATCAAATCAGAAAACTAAAAATCTAAAACCGTAATACAACTTTTATAAAAGTCCCCTTATGGAAAATATCGAAGTAGAAACTAGGAAAACAGGAATTAATAAGAAAGAGAAGAATTAAAATTGAAAATTTTGCTGAAAATAATTAAATATATGTAAAAGGTCATCGTCCCGGTCGTTTCCACAATTGTGGAAAATGTGTTGACCTCACTTTTGGTTGAGGTCTAGTCTTTCTCTTTAGTAGCCTAGGGTTTAGCCATAGGACTTTCCTATTGACTATTCTTAGAGAACTAGAAAAGGAACCCTCACCATTAGAAATTCTAAACTTTTCTTTACTCAACTTGAAGTTCCACATATTGGTCTTAACCTCTAGCACTTAGTAGGTAGGGTCATTATGGTGGAGCTTAAGGAGAGTTCCTATAGGGTTATTTGACCTTAGGGTTGGCTTTGGGTGTTGGTCTAGAGCTAAGGCACTCACTTCACTCACAATCACTCACTAACCTAAACCCAGAATTTTCTTGACTTTGTTTCCTTAATTTTTTGGGATACTCATATAGATGGTCCCCTAAACCCACTGGCCCTAGGCTAGGGTTTAGCTAAGACCAGTACATAGAGGACCCAAATGGGGTTTTCATTGGTCCATGGCTTATTTATGTGGCTTATTTATGGTAGTAGGCACCCCAACTCTACCAAAATGCCCAACTTAGCTTTTTGCCCCTAAACCTACCCAATTTACCTTAAGTACCCTTGAAACCCTAAATTTAGCCAAAATTTTCAAATTTATCCAAAATACACAAAATTGTTCAAAAGTCATTTTTATACCTTTTGAAAACACCCAAATTACCAAAATCACCAAAAAAAATTGTCAAATTACCAAAATACCCCTCCTTAGCCCAAAATTCTAAAAAAATCCCAAAAATTTCCAAAATATTCAAAATATTCCCAACTTTATTTTTCTCAACTACCACATGACCCATATTGACAAATTTGACCATCTTTGACTAAGACCCCCAAATTTGTCTTTAAATGCTCAAATTTCCCCAAATTCAACTTAAATGTCCATCAATTTGATTCCAATCTGCCCAAATTTCAATCCCAAACTCAAATTCACCCTCAATGTGACCAAAATAATTTATCTATATTATTATTTTTAATGCAAAAATAAGATTTTTCAAAGAAAATTTCTAACTTGACCAAGGGAAATTCTAATCCCTTGAAATTTTTACTAGAGGTAGGCCTAACCCAGGAAAGCCTTTG